CCTGCCCTCGGAGGTCACCGGACGCGGCGCGCCAGGCCAGGGACAGGGACTCGCAGCTCGGTGGTCGCCAACGCCGCCAAGAAAAACAAAAGGGATCGGGGTATTGGAAAGGGAAAAGTTTTCTGCTCCGCTCCAGTTAGAGCCCAACGAAATCTCACGCCCTAAGCGCCGAAGAGGCTGGCTGGGGTGCGGGGTGCGGAGGCTGGGCGGGCTTCCAGGAGCGTCACCGCACGACCGCCACCCCGGCGTGAGCTAATCTCGCTGCTGCCCACGACCCGCGGGAACTCCCTTGGCCCGGCCGCCCCCACGCTCGCGGCCCGCCTCCTCCTCCTCGAGGATGCAGACAAGATCTGCTCCTCCCCCTCCAGGAACCCCGATCCCCGCGACCCCCGCGCCGGCCGCAAAGTTGAACTTCTAGAGCCAGGATCACCGCCTACAAAACCTATCTTTAAGAACAAAATACCCGCTTTCAGGAGCTCTTCTACTCGCAGGAAGGCCAGAGGGTGGAAACAAACACACCCACCGCAGGGCGCGCCCTTTCTGCGGTGGAACCCCGCATTCCAGACCTGGGGATAAAGCCCCGCCAGTCCCCCGGAGCAGTAGGGAAGGCCCCGCCGATTCCGGTTTTCCTGGAGCAAGAGTCTGAGCTCCACGCCCCTCGGACTCTTTCTTATCAGACGCCGCCAGGATGGGTCGGGGTCCCCCTGGCGGGCTGCGCGAGCGCTGCGTTAGCGGAGCCAAGCTGTCCCCGAGCCAACACTGCGAACGCCTGCCCTAGCTACACCGCTCTGCAGCGCCAGACGGATAATCCACCGGTCTAGCCCGGAAAGGGGCACCAGGAGAGCGGCATGGGGGCGAGAGTCATGGGCAGGAGCGACGAGAATGAACTGAATCGCTGAAGGCTTTGATGAGCAGTGCTGAGGTTCAACTCCAAACGTCCGAGCTAACGAGGGATATAGGTTACTCCCCTTTGATCCTAAACAGTGAATGGGGACTGTGTCTTATTCATAGAGTAAATCAATATGATAGTTACCTGCAAGTGGACAGAGACAAAAGTGGTGGTTGTATATATGCTGGTCAATTCAGCAAATAAAGTTTCATGTGAAACTGGAATGCTGGCCATTCCAACCACAGCACTGACATGTGTAGAGAACGTTAGCTCCTAGCGCTCGGGGTGGGGTGTACCTGTCTGTATGTCTCCTGAATGTATTTTAAGTGATCAACTAGAAGGCAAGTACGGCATTCTGGTGCACTGTATTTGTATATTTCAATGAGTGATCTACTGATCTCATTTTCAAGAGTTGGTTTCTAGAGGTAGAAAATGTATCAGAAGAGAGAGAAAGGGAGGAAGAGAGAGAATTGCATGCAGAACTTTCCACATTAAACAGAATCTTGGAAATCAGATAAGAGACTGGGAAATAGTTTGCTTGTGGTGCAATCTTCGTTTCTTGACTAGAAAAATATATAGATTTGTCACTTACAGTAAAAATTTCACAATCAAAACGTTAAAAAAAAATAAAAACTAAAGGTATTGGGAGGAAGGTGGAGAAATGAGTCGCCCCTATAAACCATCCATTGTTTTATTTTTACCCCACCTGCATCCAGTACTTTTTAGCCCACAGCCAGCTGCTCATTTCTCTTAGGTTTTTTTATACATTTGTCTAGGCACCCCATCAAAGGAGTGTGATTCCACCGGGCCTTCTTTCTGGTTGTAACTTCTACATTTTATAATGTAAGATCACTATTTCCTGGTTAAGATGGCTAACTTCCCAGGAAATGAGGAACAGACTCATAGTGTCTGTCCTTAGAGATCATTAAACATGACATCCCATCGAAGACAAGCAGTGAAATATTCAAAATGGTCACCTAACCGTTTTAGGCATTGAATGACTGAGACTTCCTCAAAAAGGGACTGATGATATAAGAAATAAGCACATTCTTATGGCCACCAATATTGGTAATTTCTCATTTCTGAATTTAGAGTTCAGTGATTTAACCAAAAAAGCAGAAAGATGAGCTACATAAGACCACTAAAAGTGTATTATTTACATTTCTTTTAAAAATAATTACTGTTACTTTCAGAAAAGACTAGGTAACATGTCCTATAAATAAAGGATTATGTGCAATTCAGTAACCTAAGCAACTTCCAAGATATTAGCTATTAAATTCTCCTCTGGCACTGAGTGCTCAAGGTAAGCTCAGGTAAATAATCCAATCTCTGCTAATGGCCAGTACCTTTCCATTTGTAAAAAGGTCCAGTGAGTATACCATGGCAATAAAATTTTGAATTTAGCTCCATATCTGCTTTTGAAGTAGTAAATGGGACCTCTCACCATCAAACTGCACTGCACTTCACACATGTTTTGCTGTGTCTTTCTGAGATGTGTAAATTTACACTAGAACAAGCCCATCTTGTAAGAGTACATCAAGGAAAGAGCACTCCTCCCTGTAATTCAAGTTCAACTACCTACTAACAGAGGAATTTTGAAACTTGTTTCTCCCATCCCTTAAGTAGGAACAAAGGATCTATTTCAAAGTGTTTTTATACAAATTGAATGAAATGATACATATAACTCTTTATCTGACATAGATCCTCAACACATAGTTAAACACACACACACGCACACACACACAACCAAACTTGTTTTAATCCTATTAATATAATAAAAAAGAAAACTTTTCCTCTGGAATTGAGAATTAACTTGAGAAAAATGTTGAAATATAAAGATTAACATTTTCAGTCTTGGTATGCTATAAATGTAAGCCCAATGGATGGCAACACATTTTTAATGACTTAATTTTAAAAACATACATTGGAATGAAATAGTAAGTATTCTTAAGTAGATCATGTGACAAAGCTAAGAGAAGGCCTATTAGAAAGTTTATGTGAAATTATACCCATTTTCTTTTGCCATAAATGTAGCCCATAGTATTTCCAAACCTGAGAAGAGGATCCTCAATCAGAAAATAAAAATATCTTCAGTAGAAAATAAATGGAATTGTTTGCCAGATTCGTATCTGAATTACTTTGCTCCAGCTGTGAAACAGACTGATAGTCTTAAAGTCCCTGAGATATCTCTGCTGGCAGCCATAGTTGCTGTTTCAAAGTAGGGGGTAAATAAAAACAATGTCAATCAAAGAAAATGCTATGTTCAATTTTATCTTTAAAATATGGAATTTGGTGGGAAGAATACAGGAAGGGAAAAAGTAGCAGAAATACATTTAAAAATGAATTTTAAAGTCATTTTTATTTCACTCTTATTTTGACTAGCACTTTGACAAATGTTTTTTTACATTTTTTCTCTATCATAATGCACAATTGATTAATAGTTTTGTAGATTTAGCAGCAAAAAGATGTTGCTAATTTCTGTTCATCAAATGTACAAGTTAGAGGGCTACTTCTCTGAAATATAATATTGAGATTGATAACATTAAATATTTTATGAATTCTGTATTAACTTTATTATTTGTTAATAAACCTGATTAAATTTTTTCACCTGTGGAGCACTGACAGCATATCTTTTAACAATGCGAAAGTGGTACCCTCTGCCCTCTCTAAAACCTCAGTTCTCTTGTCTGGACAGATTTGTACCTAAATGAAGGAAAGGATCACCACATAGCTGCTAGAAATCCAAGAATGAATTTCAAAAATTTTTGTGCATTTTGTTATCAGAATCTACCCACAGCAGATATTAACAGATTTGGATGAAACAGCAAAGATGGTAGTCTAGCACACCTGTTCTACTGTCCATGGTACTGAATTAGTCATTGGTAATAAGCACTTTACTAGAAGTGTGGTCGCAGAATTGTCAATGTTGCCATCACTGGAGAGTTGTTAGAATAGCAGGATATCAGGCCCCAATCAAACATACTGTATTACAGTGCAATGAACATCCTCAAATGATTCACCTGCCTATTAAAATTTGAGGAATGCTGCACTGAGACACAGTTCATGTAACCTGGTGACCTTCCTGACGCTCTGCTTATATCACCTCTCATATCAGTCTCCTCCAGAGGCATAGTCCCACTGCTGCCTTTGGAGCTACATTTAATTTGTTGATGGCAGCGTGGTGTTACATAGAGAGCATATCCTTTGAATCAAACAACTAGGCTAAAATCTCAACTTGTACTGACCATTCTAAGCTTTATTGTCCTCCATAAAATGTCAATATTATTACATGTTCTTATAATGGTTTTTGAGGATTCAATGATAATATAATAGTATTTGTAAAGCACTTAGCCTGATGTGTAGCAGATGTTCAATAAATCAACCACTGCATGAGTGCTGCATCCTCTACCAAAAAGGGGCGTCCTCTCAGTATAGCACTGTCAGACATGGTAAAGCAATTAATCTCCAATTTCCACTCTACTACTGCATTAAATTAGTTAATAAAATAAAAACTTAAAATCCACCAAATCTTTCAGTTTGTATTCCTCCACCCCCATAATTATAATCTGGAGTAAAGAAAGATAAGGTCTTTCTCAATGATTATATTAGATATGTTTTTATTAAATTAGGATAAGATGATTTGGTATTTTGAATTGGAAAATGTTTATAAATATCTGGATAACTTAATTCTACTACAAATGTGTACACATATACAGCTGACTTTGTAAATAGTAATTATTTACACATGTATAGACCCTAATTAAACTACATTGTTGG